ACGTCTTACAGTCATCCCTTCCTGAGGACAATGAGATTGGTGGTCCCTCGGCATGCTCATCGCATCAGAATCATGAGGACTGGATTTTTTCTATGTCTCGTCTCTAAGATATATTTGTATCTAGGATTAGGTTACTTTCTTAGAGTTTATAAGAACATATTAAATCTTTATCTCACGAGAATGATATACTGCATTTTACAATAAATTTACAGCTAAATGGCTATTTAGCCAAAAAGAAATGTAAAAGATTGAAAATGACAAATTTTTGTACAAGTTTAATTTTCAGTCTGATATGGGATACAACACCAGGCATTATAAACCTGATAAACCAACTGGCCAAGTTGGGAAAATCGGTTGGTCGAACAGAAGCACAAGTAGACCGAACAAATGTCGAACGTTGTCACAGAACAAGGTGTCTTCAGGTCGAAAAGGACACTAGAGGTGCAAAGAGACATCAACAAGTTGAGTCAAGGCCCTCAGACGGTCTGGTGGAACTCGACCTGAAGGTAGGACTGGTCGCATGATCGACCAGATAGACAGTGCGCGAGCTCAACTTACGCAGCATTCTATTTTGAGGTCATTCAAACCAGTCGCACGATTAGTCAGTCTAATAAGGCAGACTAATGGATAAGAAGAATATTAGACTATCCTTATCCCCAACCCAACCCAACTCAACCCAACCTAATAATTAAAAATTATTTCTCTCTCCTCCACATACACAACTCAATTTTCCAACCTAATTAATCTTTATCCCCAACCCAACCCAACCCAACCTAAATATTTATTTTAATTTAATTTATTTAAAAAATATAATTTTATTCCAAAATATATCAAGAGTGGTCTTCATTAGTAGAGAATGAAAAAATACGAATTTTAAAATCTTTTTTATTTTCTTAAACAAAAAAATACACTTATCTAATCAAAATGGGACAAGTGTCCCATTTTCACACACTAGATAGGTCGCGACCCAAGGTCACAATTTGACCTGAGTCGCTTATTTTTCACAACCTTTGCTTCTTCTTTTAATTTTTGTTTTTTTTTTTTTTTTTTTAATTGGTGACCCACTAGGTTGGGTCACCGCTAAACTTAGTCTTAACAGGATAAGACATACACGTGGATAGGGGCACATGGCCTAATAGAATTGGGCAGCTTGAGCAGTACATAAGGGTTGTTCAGGCCGTTCGGGCAGCTCACTCGGGCAGTCTTGGGCAACAGGGTAACATCTCCATATAAAAGGGAGTGAGTTATGCCATTTAGAACATTACACTTTCTATACACTTACCTATTGTTCATCATCTTCTTCACATCTCCAACTTAAGCATCGGAGGCTTTTCACCAGAAAAACCTTCTAGTGTCAAGTTTTTGCAAGTCTTGAAGGTCATTCACCAGTGAGGAAGACATATCAGGTCAAATAGAGTCGGTCGAGGATCTTTTACATATCATTTAGCACCATTTGTGGGAACTTTTTCCAGAAATCCATCGAAGCTCCACCATCTACAACGAACCAGATTCTCAAAAAAGAATTTATAGCCAACTTTTGATTTTGTGTGGACAACCAGACATTCGTTCGGAGCAGGCTCACCATCAGGCTTCTCCGGACCATCGCAGACTTCGGTGACCCTGACACCTCATCCTACAGGCTTAAGGAGTTCAACGGTGGTCCTTGTTGCAGCAGCTGGGTCGAGCAACCCATCGGAGGCCTGAACGACTAAAGATGTCACAGTTTCAGTCCATGCATAGCTAGAACGAGCGATTGCCCAAGTGATAGGGCCACCTAAGAGTGAGGCTGAGCACGGAGGATGATAACTCGCGTGACATTGTCTAAATAGGAGCTTGAAAAGATGAGTGCAGACGTCTTTGCAGCCAGAGCAGCCTAGCATCTCACTCAACAAACTTCACATGCGACCACTACACCCACTATTGTGGTACGATTGCCCTGACAAGAGACGGAGAGTGAGGAGTCGAGTAGCAGAAACACTGCGGCACATAGGGATCAAGTTATGGAGAGAATGACATAACAAATCCATTAACTTCAGGCAAAGGTCGAAGGAAAATTTGTTAGTCGAGCTTGAGGGCATCTTTTTTCCCCAGAGATTATAGAAGTTGCTTGCTTACCGACTTCAGGGAGGTCAGTCTTACTTATCACGGTCGACGGATCCTTCTAGGTACCCTGAGGGAAGGAAAAGTTGTCTGTCTTGCATGGTTATTTGGGTACAGTGAGCGGCCAAGCTTTTCTAGCTACCCTGAGGTAAGAAGCTCAAGATTGATTTCACCAACTCCCCCAGGGATGTTGAAATATTTTGAGGACTTTTCGAACATGTTCTTGAACCAATATGCTAGTGAAATAGCCTAGTAGAAAAGTTATCTAAGTCTGATGGAGATGAGGTGGGTGGAGGGAAAATCTTTGAGGAATTATGTGGCCAGGTACAAACGATCTTGCGTGGAGATACCTTCAGCCTCGGACGAGGTCTAGTCTAGAGTTCCAATAAAGAGTTTGGGGCTGGTCCTTGTCAAAGCTCCATTGCTAAGACACCGGCCATAACATATGATAATGTGCTGAAGAGAAGCAAAAAATATGTGAATATGGAGGAGACCAATGAGAAGTTTGCTAAGCTCAAGTATAGGGCTAGACCTGATGTCAAAAAGGAGAGGGCGAGTGTTTGTCTAATTTTTGTTGTGTTTTTTGTTATTATTTTTTCTTTCTTTTTTCCCCGTTTTAGGTCTTTTCGCTCGTTTTTAGTTCGTTTTGTGTTTTGTTCCTTGTCTTCCTCTATCTAGAGTCTTTCTGTGTTTTTCCGGTTCTTTTTCCTTTTTTTTTTCGTTTTTGTCGTCTTCAGTGCTGTGCAGGTGATCGTTTTGACATGGGGGAGGAAATTATTTTGGTGAGTACAATTTCGTAGAAGGATTCGTCACCATGACACCGGAGAAAATGACAAACGAGCACAACCGAACCCGGGACATGAAGCAATACCAGGAACGAGCTACTCACCCATGCACCACGCCCTGAAGTCCCTCCAACCGCCACGAGAAGCCTCGCCGGTGTCCGTTCACCACTTATCATCGCAGCACCATGCGCGAGTTCACCATGGGCGCCACGCCGCGAAGCCTCTCTCCTTCGCGCCGTGAAGAACCCGTCGCGCCGCGGCCGACCACTCCTCTACATTGTGATGAAGCACCACGCCGCTGCAAGTACTTCTCCCGCGCCGCGGCAGGCAGCACGCCGCGGTGCCTGCTGCTTTTCTCCTAGTCGCGCCCAGTTTTCTACTCCGCGGCCGCGACTCCTCCTTCACCGCGGTCACAGAGAACAAACGGTCCCAAGCTCCCTGTTTGCAGATGAAGAATGTCGCGGCCGCGGAGCCGTTGTTCACCGCGGCCCGTGGGCTTCTCCGCGGCCGCGGAGATCGCAAGCAGATTTTTAACACACAGATTTTTGTGTTCGATTTTTATTACATTCGAGCTTAGGTTTATTTCTTCTCTGGTATTCTTCCCTTCCAACTTGTTTTTCTTTCTTTTTAGATATTTTTCGACGCAGAATAAGGATTGGATCTTGGATTTGCTATTGCTTTTGGATTTAAGCTTGTTTATCGAATTCGGCTTTCAGATTTTAACAATCGTAAGATTTTATTTTCATTTAATTGATGAATATGGATTCTTTGATTGTGATGATTATGATTGTTGAATCAATTATGAGTAGCTAAATTCATATGCTAGGAAATAGGGGATTGATGTTTTGAATTTGTTTGCGATTATCATGTTTGGGATTGCCCAATTTTATGCGAGTTGATCTTTTTAATGAGTTTTCAACTGTCGGGCTTGAATACCGCGAATTATTGAAGGGTGACACTTCAATTCCCGATTGTTTTCAATTGAATTCATTTTATTCGTGCTTGATAATGGTAATTCTATATTGATTAGTCGGCTAACCACCCTCTAGTTTACTTAATCAACTCTTAGAACCGAAAAGGGAGGAGTCGGTGGAAATAGGCTCATATAAACTATGCTTGTTCGTAATTGTATTGCCTAGGTGTTAAATAGTTTGTTAACTTGTCGTTTAAGGTTGTTCTCTTGTTACGAAGAGTTATTGAGAATGAGTACTTGAACGAACCGGTTATTCAAACCACTTAACCGAACAATCTTTTGCTTGATAATTGCATTTTCGAACCAAAACAGATATCCCCGACTCCCTTGCTTCTTAAATCCTAATTGTTCTGCATTGTTGATTGCTATTTTTACTGCTTCATTTGAATCCTCGTACTAGTTGATAATAAAAATCAATACAATCATCTGAATTAGTATGTTTAGATATTTTATTTCTTTTGTGTGATTGAATAAAGGTGCTTAATATTCCGGTTGACCTTCCTCGAGAGACATGACCCGGTGTTCGAATCTTTTGATTTTACTCCGGAAAAATATTTACAACAGCGAGCTTTCTCAAAAAGGATAAATTAGAGAAGAGAAGAGAGGATAGGTGGCAGGATCTATCTCTTACGATAACATCACATCTAATTTTCTGAATTAAAAAAAAAAATAAAAAATCCTCACATAGATGATCAATCAATGCATAATGAAGTGCGATATGAGTTTTTTTTATCTTGAATTTTCTATATCGAGCAACAAATGCTTAGAACTGAGAAGCTTCATTACCCAGCATTTCAACATATGGGATCGGGGCCTCTATCGCAGCTTCAATCGGTGCATCGAGATCTCGATCATCCTCAATTATCATATTATGCAAAGTAATATATGCAGTCATTATATCTTGTAAGTCTTTTTTACTCCAAAATCGGGAAGGATTAGCCACAATAACAAATTGACTTTGATGTACTTCAAATGCACGCTCAACATCCTTTCTACATGCTTCTTATTTCATTGCAAAATATTTTTTTTTTTTTTTTT